AAAAAAAAAAAAAAACAACAACTGAAAGCATTCAGCTGCATCAAGTTGATCCTTACCAAAAAAGGGAACATACACCAAAAAAAAAAGCGAAACGGAGCGATCACAAATCTCAGAATACTTTTTTTACAGCAAGTGGCTGGAACTCATCTCTTCATCACAAAGGGTATATAATACAATATATAGCTCGAGTCTCTGCTCGACACATTAAACAAATTGAATGCGATGCAAAACCCAACGACAACTTGATTGCCAATTTGCCACACCCATAGACACCAGAGAAAAGTTGAGGTTGGGTTTTGCAATCAAGTTGTCGCTGGGTTTTGCAAAGACCACTGGCTGAGAAGAGCAGCTAGGAACTTATTTTTGGTGTGTTAAAAAACTTAAACTGTGTTTCCATTTAGGGGGGAAATGACGAATAGGTTGAGCTCTCGGGCGTTGTGCAAGGATTTGGGCATAACGGACAGCAACTTCAGCAAGGAGAAAACAATGATGTTCCGAGGTTTCGTTGGCCGTGACGTGCGGAAGCATCTGAGTGAATAATACTGACATTATTGTATTTGGCTTACTCGTAGAGAAGAAATCGGAATGTTGCTCCCCAGAATAGAATGGTGCCTCGGTAACAAGGAGGTACAGTTAGGAAAGGGGTAAGGAGGGGGAGAAACAGCACGGACGGACAGGTGAGAGGAGGGGGGAAGGGGAGGAGTGGAAACAGCACGTGGGAGGAGAGAGGGAGCGAGGGAGGAGGAGGGAAGGGGAGGAAGAGGAAGAACAAGAAGGAGAAAAGAAGAAGAAGGAGATGGAGGAGAGGAAGAAGGAGGAGATGGAGAAAGGGATGGAAGAAGAAGAAGAAGAAGAAGGAGAAAGAGGAGGAGGATCGGAGAAGGAGGAGGAGGAGGAGGAGGTTCACAACAAGAAGAGGAATCTGAAAATGGATTCCTCAGCACTCAATTCGAGACTGGAATTTCTGAACCAGCAGAAAGTGCCAACCAATTGATTCGGAACAATGTTAAGTGCTTATCCTAAACCAGGAGGAAGTAACATTCAAATTTCAAATTGATTCTGAGCTTCTCAAGTGGAAGAAGGGGGAGAACAGGAAAGGACTTAAATGCGAAAGATCACACAGTAGCCTATGCATAGTACAGTATTAGTACTACAGTATATACTATATATTTATGCAGGGGAAAAAAAATCAGTGTCAGTGGGCTATCCCAGGGTCGAATGGGGTTATGCTAGGTTACAGTTCCCACAAATGAGTTGTGGGACCAATTCAATGAAAGGGTTGGTCATGCAACACACACACACACACACACACACACACACACACACACACACACACAGTAGTATGGATTCCGTACATCTGGGCCTAAGTCCTCCTCCGTGCAAGCACAGATTCGAACCGGCGACTTCGGCCTCAAGAGCCAAGTCTCTTAACCACTACAGCCAGGACACGGTGTTCAAGAGTGGAATCGTACCGGTCGTGATATCCACCCCACCCCTGCAAGGCTGTAGTGTCCAACTCAACACACACCACACACAACACCCACGGACACGGCAATTCTCGTACACTTCGCTCTGTAGTCAGCACGTGACCCCCGGTGGTACTCTTACCAACTCACACAGACGGGACTTATCAATGCCCGTCGGTTCACGGGCGCTTCCACAGTAGTATGGATTCTGTACATCTGGGCCTAAGTCCTCCTCCGTGCAAGCACAGATTCGAACCGGCGACTTCGGCCTCAAGAGCCACACACACACACACACACACACACACACACACACAACAA